ACTTTGCATTATATGGGCAGGAGGTCTTTCCAACTGCTGCATCATGCAAGGCTTGGGGGAAAACCAGATGGTCAAAGTTATTGGGCAAGTCTTGCCCTCTACCAATAACACCAGCATAAGTGGCTTGGGTCCACTATGCATTAACATCCACATTAATGGGGCTGAACTCCATTAAGACAGATACAATACAAAACAAAGTCAGGGGACCAAGATCCAGAGAGAAAACCCTCAATGAAACAGTAAAGTTCTACACAACAGTCAGAAGCACTAAATGGGACAGCAAGAATCCCACCTAGCAGCAGAGACAAAACAAACACAAAGACCAAAAAGTGGAAGCCAGCCACCAGAGAACCTAGGTAAACAAAAGCCAGTCCACCTGTCGTAGTGGGGAGCCACAGCAAGGGAGCAGCAGAGAAAAACTCAATGGAACAGTAAAATAAAAAATAGCCACAGGAAGCCCTCCACCACCACCAAAGGAGACAACAGAGAGGTAACCAGCACAAAACAACACCTCAGAGAACCACAGTCGCCAGCAGCCACCACTCTTCATCCTTACAAAATCCTAGCAAAGGACCACCAAACCCAGCCGCCAAACATCCTGTATATATATATATATTTAAAGGAAAAAAGATAAGCTATAGCTCCTTACATGTTAATGTGAAAGTTGGATTACAAAATGAGTAAGAAGATCACTCGAACCAAACCCTTCCCATCTATCTAACTTAGATCATATAATGAAGTATACAAAAAGTGTGGGAAATATCTATGATTGACACAATAGCAGACCTAGTGTGAATGTAAAAAATCAATCCCTACAATTAATATAAGGAATGGATAAACTATCCCCATGAAGAAGGATTTCAAGCTGAGTGGAAGGTATAGTCCCTACAACAATCTCTTCATTATCCTTCCCCCTAGCTGCCAAACTATGTGCAGGAGTGTTACCTTCCCTTAAGATATGCTGAAAAATCACTTCAACATTGATCAACATTCTCTTCATCTTAGTAGTCCAACTAGCAACATTCCATGGAGCAGCTTCTTCCTGATTCAGTATTCTAATACAGCTGAGAGAATCTGACTCAACTACCAATTTTATGATGTTGCATTGCTTGGCAAGGTAGATAGCCCAATAAATAGCAATTATTTCAGTTTCTAGTGCATCAATTTCCCAAGTTGGAGAGGAAAAGTATAACATGCACTTCCCCAGAGAGTTCCTAAAGATTCCTCTCACACCAGCAGCATCCTTACAAAAGCTTCCATCTATATTGGCTTTCATCCACCCTTTAGGAGGTGGGTTCCAGAGAACTAAAGTAGGCACTTTTAGCTTCTGCACACTGGGCACCCAATTCTGGAAAATATTGGGAAAAATCTAAAATTTTATTATCTTTTGCAAATAAGTACAATTCAGAACCACATCCATCTCCTTAGGTTTGTTGTTTTCATATTTAAACTGGTTCCTGCACATCCAAAGGAACCAGGCAACAACACAAGGAATGATTATTAATTTGACATCTAACCATTCCACCCAACACCCCAAAAAGTATTGTTAGCTGCCTTTCAAAGTGTCAATATTAAGTTGTTTTAGTATATCAGACCAAACCCTTTGGGAGAAACTACAAGAGAAGAACAAATGATCCAGACTTTCTTCAGCTTTATCGCACAGATGACAGCAAGAGGGTCCCTTAAGACCTTTCATCTTCAAAATGTCATCAGTAGGAAGTAAGGATTTTCATAGCCTCCAACAGAAAAAGGAGATGGAAGGTGTTAACCACTTCCCCCAAATCAATTTACCCCACTTGACAGGTTGTCATTCATCATTCAAATAGATATAACTGTTGGAAGATAAAGGCAGACATTTTTTGTGAGGATGCCTCTCTAGTTATGAGTTTATCTTTCTGCCCAGGATTGATTTTTGTTTTTGTAACCTAATGTATTTGCTTTTTAGTTAGGATGGCAGCCAAAAAATTGCAGTTCCAATGATTATCAATCCAGAATTCCTTCACTTTTGTCATTGAGTTTGGATTGGAGGTGTGTAGTCTCACCCCATTCCACGCCTAATTATCCAGCCAAAAATTAACTTGGCCTTCACCAAGCTCCCAGATAAATAGATCCTAAGCTTTATTTCTAATCTCCAAAAGCTTAGTCCACAGCCTGAAATCACCCACCTTCTTCTGAGCCATAGTAGGATGAACTGTCCTACAATACTTTCCCTTCATAAACATAGCCCAAAGACTGTCTTGTGCTCTAAACTTTATCCATAGTTTACATAGGTTGATGATGCTGAGTTGCTGAAAATCTTTAAAGCCTAAACCTCTAGCACTTAAGTGTTTACATAGTTTATTCCAAGCTAACCAATGGAATTATTTTTTCTGTCCAGCACACAGAAATTTGTTGAAAATTATGTCCAGCCTTATCTGAGTTCCTTTCTTCATGGTAAACATTTGAAGAGCATAAGATGGAATGGAAGTTACGATACTTTTAAGGAGGGTGATTCTACCTCCATTAGAGAGGAAGTAATTAGTACAGCATTGCAGCTGTTTTTGAATTTGGTCAATAACCCCATTGAATTGAGTTTGCTTGGTTCTCCCTTTAGTCAATTGGACACCAAGATAGTTGACTGGTAGAGAAGCTTTGTTGAAACCAGTGTGCTGAGCAATCCATTGCTTAATCTGTGGAAGAGTGTTTGAGCTAGTAAAGAAATGACATTTTGGTTTATTAAGATGCATACTAGAGGTGACTTGGAAGTGTGCAAGTCCTTGGTAAAGAGCCTTCACAGCAGTCTTGGTAGCCTTGGAGAAAATGATAATATCATCAGCATAAGACAGATGACTCACCCCAATGTTGGATTTATGTTGATAAGTTAAGCAAGGAGAAGAGGAAAACATTTGATTTAGAAGCCTAGAAAGATAATCCATAGCAAGAATGAAGATAGTAGGAGACAATGGAACTCCTTGTTTAATTCCCCTAGAGGCAGTGAAGAAACCTTGGCTTTTACCATTGATTAAGATAGAGTGATTGTTAACACAAAGCCACCTCCTTACCAAATTTATAAAGGCCCCAAAGAAACCCCTAACATTTAAAGTGTCCAAGATAAAATTCCAATTGATAGTATCATAAGCTTTCTGGATATCTAATTTCAGAATGAGATTGCTGCCTCTACATTTTTTGCGAAGGTCTAGCAACAACTCCTGTGCCAAGAGAATATTATCAGAGATTTGTCTCCCTTTCACAAATGCTACCTGGTTATTACAGATAAGTTGTTGGAGGTGAGGTTGGAGCCTATTGTTAATAACCTTGCTAATAACTTTAGACAAGACGTTTGTTAGACTGATAGGTCTGAAGTCTCCCCACCCAATCCAGCTAGAAGTTTTTAGAATCAAGGTTATAGTGGAAGAAATGAAATCCATACCTTTAATGAAGCTTTGCACAACATCAACAACCTCCCCACTGATGATATTCCAAGTAGTCTTATAGAATTTGGCGGTAAAGCCATCAGGGCCAGCCACCTTATTGTCATCAATAAAGTCCAATGCAGCTTTAATTTCCCCTTCCATAGGAATCTGAGTAAGGTCCAAGCTTTGAACATAATCAATGCGCTCAGAGAAAAGTTCCACCTTGATAGGAGCTCTCTTATATTTTGAAAATAATTAATAGCATCAATGGCAATGTTCTCAGCATCAGTTACTACCTTACCATTAGAATCATGTATGGAAAAGATCATGTTATTCTTCCTTATGAAATTAGTACAAGCATGATAATAGCTTGTGTTTTTGTCTCCTTCAATAAATCTGGTGACTACAGCTTTTTGTTTCAGAAAACATTCAGTATAATTGGTTTGCATTAACAGTTCTTCACTGACTTTGTGCAGGTCAGCTTCAGAATTCAATCCCATTTGAAAATTCTTTTCCATTCTGATAACATTACTTTGGGCAGTGGTCAAGTTATCATTAATATTGCCAAATGTTTCCCAATTCCACTTCTTTAGATGAGCAGCCACTTTCTTCTGAAGAATCCATAGCTTTAACCAGGGATTGGAGTTCCCTTCAGCCCTCCAAACCTTATAAACTTCTTCAACAAATTGAGGATGAAGAGTCCACATGTTTTGGAATTTGAAAGGAGCTTTATTTGGCTTTTCAGCATTCTAGATAGTACATAACAGTGGTCTATGGTCAGAACCTTCCATAGCCAAATGAGTAATGATAGTGCAAGGGAAGGTTTGAACCCATTTAGAGTTACCCATCATTCTATCCAGCCTCTCCCACATGGCACCTCTTCTCCAAGTGAAGTCTGGCCCTTGGTACCCCAAATCAAACAACTCAGCCTCAGAGAGAAAATCATTGAA